GGAGATTGACCAATTAGCAGCAACGCCAATTTCCCTTACTTTCTGAACGAAGGCTTTTCTCGACGAATTCGATGATCTCGTGTCCTTAGGCACACCCCAATATAGTTTTCCTCTGTGGCATTATCGGGACGGGAAAGTCATTCTCGCTCGCGATCTCATCGATGAAAAGAGTAACCCCTTACGACCAGTGAATATTACGCGTCCGACTTAGATTTTGTGAGTACGTTCATCTATCATCCCGTCGACCGCGGATTCGTTATTGAACCTAGGATCATTGTCATTAGTTTCTCGAGTACCTAACTACCACGGTTACTTGTCCGGTTCTATAATAATCGTATTTGCACTAGTCAATGTCTTCTCTATTGCATAACGACAACGTGTAACCCAAACGAAGATTCGTTTCACGCCCCTAACCCTAATTCTAATGTATACCCGACATATATATTATATATACAAGAAAGTTCAGCTTTTTTGGATAACTTTAATTTAATTCAAGCGTTTGAGTTAACCCAACTCCCAATTAGTGAATTTTACAGTCAATTCGTGAAGGACTTATTGGGAAAACAAGCTATTCTCGAATTAATCCATTTTACAATGGATGTTTTCTTAAATAGGCGATATCTCCCTTACCTGAGAATGTCTGCTTCTCGAGTTCAGATATTTCGAACGTTGTCTTCAAGACGACCTATCGTCCAGTTAAAAATATCTGTCGTGCATCGATGCAGGAATTTATAAACCAAGCTTAACGCGATGCGACGACGTTTTTCCCCAACCTGAGTACTTACTTTAACAGACTGATGTCGCTTCAAGCCATGTACATTCTGTAAACTTTCGTTGATTGGCGCGCTTCTAGTTCAGTTTAAGCGTATAAAAGCGGTACAGCAGAAGGCATTTATGCGTTTATTTTACTTAACTCAGGTTATCGATTTTCTAATTCACTGGAAACTAAACGCAAACATCCATAAAGCAGAGACAATAATGCTCTGTAGAAAAAATTGACCGTCCAAAACCAGTCGATCAACTGATCACGCATCAAATATTTAGGTATTGTACCGGGTTACAAATTCACACGAAGACTTACGATTTAGGATCGTCTGAACGAAACCGCAAGAACTACACACATTCCTATACCCTACTAATCGTAAAGGGTAGCTCCTCCGCTCTTCGAGTACAAAAAACATTGCTGTACAAAGCTTGCGCAAGGTCAGTCCTAGTCTGTGGATTCAGGAAACAGATTTTCAGGAAACAGATGAGAATAATCCTGGATACTGGCAGACACTATGGCACAAGAAAAGTATCGGAAGAAACAGAAATGACAGGTCTCGTGACATACGCAGAAGAAATGACGCGCGAGATCCTGAATAAAAGTCATGGCAACTCACTAATGCGTCAAATACATAGCGCGATATAATATACACGAAATTCTACCGAGAAACAGAAAATCTGTCTCTCAACTATGTAAGTCCGTAACCCCAGTGGAATAGATGTCGTGCTGACGGATTCTTGAAACTTTTCCCTTGTCACTACTCGTGCATTCGCAAGAAACCATTAACCGACAACCGAGCATAATCTTGCAGTTAGAGGTTTAGAGCAGGTATTAAGGCGAGCACAACTGTTCCCGATACTGCGTGAAAAACGCGCATTGAGAAACCGAAAAGAGATTTATGCGTTACGTAGGAGGCTTTTTTGGAAACTTTCTGGTAATACCGCGTACTTGCTGTCGCTACGATAAGTCGGCTAAGGCCCGATGCGGACGAACGGTTTGTGGTAAATCGCTGCAGTGGCAGCGGGTTGGAAGAGCGGGGAAACTTATGTATCCTTCTTTTATGAGACAGAAGAACCTTATTTCTTCGTTCTTGCAACGGTGCCGCAGCAGTGTCGTACGGTAAAATGTCACTTGTCCGCAGCAAGTCTAACCGTGAACGCACGCGAGCCACATTTTATCGCGTGATACCACTGCGATCGTATGTTCGTCTTTGTTGTTCCTGATAGGAAAACAAAGAAAGATATATGGTCGCAGCGATATCACACGGTAACATGTCGATCTTCTACATCTGACCTAAGGTTGATGACAGGTGTGGTTGTTAATCTTTGTCATCGATAGAATAGTATTTATGCATTAGCAGTCTGTACCAAACACGATTATCAATTCGCTGCTATAAAATGCAGAAATAATTATACGACGGTTTATTAAGCTAAACCTCTGGCTCGCTCTAGCCTCCGTGATAACTTCAAGTCGAGAGAAGTTCATGCATTCTCGAGTAGATTTATTTTCGAATTGACGTTATATCCGAATTCTGTTTAAGCCAGCATCCATTCGTGGTTGGTTCGAATCCATTTGTGGTAGTACACCGGCTCCAGTTAACTAGGAAGACTGTGCACGTTCGTGAGTCAATCAACTTCTCTGAGATTATCTCTACGAGTTCTATACTGTTAACCGCAAACTTATACCAGCCATGTTGCGCACATTCTACGGTCGAATCTTCTCCAGGCACACATACGAGTTACTAATCTAGTTAGATAAGAGAAGGCGGTTGAAGGTACGTTGCAGCAAACAAACATACATTTGCAATTAATCTACAAGTATCCTATTGGGTTGTAACATACACTTGTTCTATGTTCCGACATGTTTATATCATATACAATGGGGGAAAAAACAAGTGTACAAGTGGTGCAAATAGGAAACAGTGAAGTTCAGTCGAACCAGTAGACGACAGCTTTGATGACAAAACGAATGAAATTTTACGAATTACAAGTTACCTAATCAACTTACTTGATATCAAACTAGAGTATGTATTTGTGTTATGCATTTAGCATGACGATTAACGTTCATTCATAGTACGTATTTAACATAAAAGTGTAGTACCTATGTAGTATGTGTGTACAATAATATATTAGTGTACAACATTTTTTTTAATATTTATTAAAATTACAATCAATTCTCGCGTTGAGAATTTTCAGTAATTTTTCTGGTGTGGCGCAGTAACATGGCTAATTACTTATAATAAGTTAATACTTATTATAGATAAGTAATTTGTACGTAAGTGTTGTAAATAAGTAGATGTTACTTAATTTAAATAACTAGTTGAATCTGTCGTTTAGGTCTAGCGGGTAGTGTCTCTTCAGCCTGCGGATCTGATCCGTCGTATCAAGTAGTCCAGTGATTAGGGGTGTTTTCGCACGTTCGTGGGGAGACGCGATCTCGAAGAAGCGCGCCAACGGGAGTCGTAAATTCCCGTTACGATTGACTAATCAACGTCACGAAGCGTTCGATCCTCTATTTCTTGTGGGATAATAAGGGTAGTTAACTTGAATATAACGCTGCTGTTAATAGATATTATATATTTGCACAATCCAACAACTTCGGTGTAATACAAGTGAATGGTTAATATGAACTGACTACGAATGAGTACGACCTGAGACTCTGTTCGTGCGACTGACTTGAGCTGATGTTTTGTGAAGACTGACTTGAACTGCTGTCGTAGTAGAAGTAGTTGACTTGAATGATGTCGCAGGAGAAGTAGTTGACTTGACTGTACGAAGGATGGGAACTCAGTGCCGTTCGGTGACGATGCTGTGGCGGAGGAAAGCTAAAGATGGGTGTGTCCCTTGAACGAAGCACGTTTGTTGGTTAGCATGTGGACTTGTGCTGTGATCACTATATCATTGCGCAATCGGAAACTGATGGTCTCATGTTTGCGGTCCTTGTTGGAGCTCTGGACCCTTCGCGTCATTGCTTGTGAGTATGTTTCCGTCTCGGACTGTCGGGTGGCGTAGGGGGCGAGTTCGTCCGTGTGGTCCCCGATTTGTGCTTTCTTGAGTTTTTCCGCTTACTTGTCGGTGATGAAGATGATGCTGTTCCCCTGCTTTACGAGGAGGAACTTCGGCTCGAGGTGGAGGAATTCGACCTCGACGGCTGCCTTTCTTGGTGTAACATCGTGTGGTGTCGTTCTCCGCACACCCGACATGTGCCGGCGTAACAATCACGTGCTGTGTGCTCCTTCTTCAGGCAATTCAAGCATAAAGACGCCCTTGTAGCGTCCTTCAAGCGTTCACTCACGGTTTTCGCCTTGAACGAGTCGCATCTCCAGATGGAGTGTTGTCCTTGGCAGGTGGGGCATGCCGGAGCGACCTGTGTCGCTGTGAATACATGTTTTCGGGACGCTCGTTGACGGGTTCGACTGGTTGGTTTTGGTGACGATCTTGGCGGGTGTTGCCAATTGACCGCATATGCTGTAGGGCTTTGGTAGCTTGGTCTGGTGGCTTCTAACATCTCACAGTGGCCACGTAGAAAATTGAACAGTTCTCCGACACTTGGGAAAGGTGTGTGTTCGATTTTTTCCTTCCATCTGAACCTTGTCTCGGGGTCTAGCTTGGAGGTGAGCAGGTATAGCAACACAGTATCCACGGTGGGTTGCTGGAGGGCTTTCAAAGCCTTATAATGGGCTTCGGTTTGGATTAGGTATGCTCGTAAATCTTGATACCCTGGCCGATGCAGGGGAACGATGTCGATTAACGCCTTCAAATGCTTGTCAACGACTTTTGCTGGCTGATTGTATCGTGTTTCTAACAGTGCCCATGCCACTGAATAATTGCTGGCAGTGTTTGCTAAGGATGCTATCGATTCGGCAGCTTCCTGCGTTAAACACGATCGTAGATACAGAAGTCTCGCACAATCATCGAGACGGGCATTCTCATGTATTGTGCACCGGAATTGATCCGCGAATCCGGGCCAATCTTCGTACGCTCCCGAAAAGGTCGGCAGCTGTATTTTTTGTATAAGAATCTCCTGGCACCCTCGCTTTGAGTTCGGTGTGCGCAGTACAATGGGCTTACTCCCGTCGATTGCGCCCAGGCTTGTTGTCGAGGGGGGCGTTGCTGGTATTTTGTCGAGGAGATTTAGGATCCATAGGTTAATCTCCAGACGATCTTGGAATAAAGAATCTGCACGGGCGATTTCTTTTTCATCTAGCGCTTCTAATTCATCTTGAATTGCGCAGATCTTCTTCCAAGTCTCGTCGAACGATTCACGGCAAGCTATTAAGTAGTTCCTTTCTACCCGTCCAGACGCTTCATATTCGTCGAGTTGACGCCTCGTGGTTGCAAATCGGTTGACTAAGGCGCTTCGTCTCCGCCGCAATGTGCTGATCGGGTCAGATGGTGCCATATTTGATTGTTGTAATAGGACCGAGCTTACCTTAACCGAATGGACGTTGATTTGGGAATCGGTTGCTAATGAATGTCCAGCTACGGTGGGACGCTGCCTGGTAGCGTGCCTCGACTAACGGGTTATACTTCTTCGAAGGTGACGCTCCTGAAGTCACTGACTTCGCTGGAGTGATACACTTCCGTTGCTGAATTCAATGTGGACACGTGGCACTGTGTGATCACTTGTAGATTCACTTTTCGTTGGCACGTAATCCGGCTCGAAGGATCAAATGTTCGACAGGATGCGTGTCAAAACTATCCACTGGCCACTGAATAATCCGGCTCGAAGGACCAAATGTTTTCGCACGTTCGTGGGGAGACGCGATCTCGAAGAAGCGCGCCAACGGGTGTCGTAAATCCCGTTACGATTAATCGACGACGAAGCGTTCGATGTGTTGTGTCGACTGACTGTATTCGATTGACTTGAGCTGATGTTTTGTGAAGACTGACTTGAATTGACGTCGTAGTAGAAGTAGTTGACTTGACTCTGCTGATGTCGTAGGAGAAGTAGTTGACTTGAATGATGTCGCAAGAGAAGTAGTTGACTTCACTGTACGAAGGATGGGAACTCAGTGCCGTTCGGTGACGATGCTGTGACGGAGAAAAGCTAAGGATGGGTGTGTCCCTTGAACGAAGCACACG